GCATGCACTGCATCAGGTCTTCGAGCTGACCTTGGTTGGCCACCGGAGGGAGGATGGTGGGTTCAGCGAAGGTTGTTCCAACGGCAAAGGGTAATGGAACGGTCACGGGTGCCACCGTCAGGGGCACATTCAAACTAGGTACCCCATCCACGGAGAGGGGGACGGTGAACTGGCCGATGCAGACGGTGGGTAGCTGGAGTTGTTCCTCTGGGGTGTTCCGGCGTCCGGAATTGCTGGAGGAAGTCATAGTGATGATGAGTTCTTTGAGGGAAGTTTCACAGAAGTTAGAGGAAGGCCTTTTGAAGCGTATTCCCACAGACGACACCAAATGATGATGCACGATCTGGGCACTCCTAGCCGGCTATGACTTGGCTACTAGTTGCGGCGAATGACACCTGAGAGGAAGAAAGAGGTGAAGGGTTCCCGGGGAGCTCTCCCAACGGGAACACTCCGAAGGCTAAATTAGAACTCTGAGGAAATTCAAAGAAGACACACAGAGAGTTAAGAGTGCTGAAAGTGCTAGCTTCAATACCTTTGCTTCATGAGAGTCGGGGTCCTTTTATACCGGAGCTCGGTCACATTAGGCGTAACCGCCACTGCCAGAGCAGGGGTAGCAGGTGCAGGCTGCTGCTACAAGGTACGGACCCGACAGGCGTGCCATGCTTTTCAGAGACGGCGGGCAGAACGCCGCCTGGTAAGGGATCCGAGGACTGCCACCGGATTCGGTAGGTACGGATGTCAGACAGATCTCCCTGCAGTCTACCGAGCTACCGTACACTGATCCACTTGGGACAGGTTTGCTTTGCATCGAGGTGTCGAGGTACACCTAGGTGCCCGCACTGGGGGCGAGCCTTAAGCAAGTTCGAACAGGAGTCTCGACGGTGCTGCCCCGAGGTGTTTCTCCCTTGGGACACTTAGCCAAAAGTTGGGGTGTTCCCTTCTTAGTAAGGGAGGGCTCGGGGCCCCTTAGGAGGAGCTCGGGTCCCCCTGCATGGGGGAACTCGGGGAGCTCCGTCTTCACACTTGGGGTGAACTAGGCCTTGCTTCTTGGCGGGTTGTCACACCTGCCGAGTCGCTTGGTTGGGCTTCGACGAGCTTGTTACGCCGAGTTGTGGCCCGGCTGCCACGCTGACTTGTCGCTTATGCCAAGTCATATACACGTGTCCCCGTGCTACGAGGTCGGGCCAAATCACCCTACATCAGTATTATTTATTTTATTTACTTAATTGACTTTATGTCATCATAGACCCCTGAAATAATTTACTTAATTAACTTTATTAAAGTAAACTTTAAGGTATGAAGTGTCTTTGCAATTTCTCAAATTTAAGATTTAAAGTACCTTTTTTTTCTCCAATGTTGAGCCAAATATACTTATGTTTATTAATATTATATAATATTTTGATCATATTATAACATGTTATCCAATATCTTCCACCAAAATCCTATTTAAATCCATCGTATAATTAATGAATGAAATTTATAGCTAAAAATCTTAATGAAATCTAATAAGATTTTATTTAATAATCATAAAAAATCTATTTCAATTCGATCCAGTCTGATGATGCAGTCTGCAAATGGGATGAGCTCTCCAAAGAGCACGCCCCACATGAACCCCATGAAGATGATCTGATCCTCCGACCAAGGCACGACACGGCCCGTGGGCGGTCCGCTCAAAAGGCGGGCCAGACTGTGATAGCCTGCGGGCCGTGCTGCCCTCCTCGGAGGAAATTTTGGGGGTCGGCCCAGTAAATTTGTAAAACTAAATTATTTAACTTTCCTTTGAACTTCGGGAATTGGAAATTATTTAAAAAATTAAGAAATGGAAAATCAACGTTATCTAACACATAAATGAAAAAAAAATACTTAACCAAATTGAAATAAGAATGATGGAATAACAAATTAGAAGAAAAATAGGAATTTTATTTCATTTAAATTTGAATGGTACAAATTACAAATACAATGATTGGATCATTGGATACTTAGAAGAATGAAATATGAAAATGGAAAAAATTAATAAAATATAAAAATATATAATATGGTTACAAATTGAAAATATAAAATTATATTGTTAAAAATTTAAAAAAATCAAATAAATTAAATAAAATTCAAAAAATTTACAATAATTTGAAAAAATAAAAAATTCTATACAAATTGTCAAATTCATGAATCTCATTCATGACTTTCATCATCTGCTTCGGGTGAAATATCCGATGTAGTATCATGCCCTCCTTTGTCTTGTAATATATCTTCTGCATGTAGCCAATGCTTGAAAGAGATGCACATTTCTATGCTTTTATCGTTCATGCAACTTCTTTTGTCATCGAGCACCCTAGTACCTGCACTAAAACAAGACTCTAATGGAACTGTAGACACCGGATGGGTTAGTAGATCACGTGCCATGGCAATGAGAACTAGATAATTTTTTGATTGTTCACTCCACCAGGCTAAAATATCAAAATTATTTGATACTTCACCTAAATTAGAAAAATTTGATTGTAAATAAAAATTAAGTTCAGTAAATAAACTTGTTGTATAACTAGCAGATTTCTGCTTTCTACTTATTAAATAAAAAAGTTTTTCTCTTCTACTACTGAGCTCAAGGTCCGAAGTAAAAGAAATGATGAAAAGTTCAGATTCATACAAACTATACATTTCAAATAATAAATTATTAATTTCTTCTTTTTTATTTCCTATATCAATATTCATATTTTCACAATATGATTCAAGTAAAATATCTAAATCATCTTTCCTAATGCTAAGGTCTAATACTGTAGCTAAACAATAAAGGAGAGAAATGTTCTCCCAATATTTTTTTAATTTATTTTCCATTATTTCAACAATACATTGAAATTGTGAATTATTTCTATATTTTGCAAAACAACCACTAATTACCATTAATTGATAAGGTAAATTTCAACAATACATTGAAATTCATAAATAATTTGTTTATGAGATATGCAACTTTCTAACATAGCATAGGTACAATTCCACCTATGCTTTACATCTAATATAAATTGTTTATATCTTAAACCATATTTTTGACATAAATATTTAAATTATTGTTTTCTTGCCCCTGAACTTTATATATATATATATATATAATACAATTTCTAATTTTTGAAATATGAGTAGAAATAATATTCAAGGCATCTTGAATACATAAATTTAAGATGTGACATGTACATCTGATATGAAATAATTTACCATTTAAGCATGGTCTTAATTGAGATTTTAAAATATTTATTGCATAATCATTATTACTGGCATTATCAAAACTAATAGAAAATAATTTATTTTCTATTCCATAAGCATGCAGAGTATTTAAAATACTTGCATCAATAACTGGGCCACTATGTGGCCATTCAAGCCTAGTAAAATTTAAAATTATTTTATTCAAAAGCCAATTTTCATTAATGAAATGGTTGGTAACACAAATACAACTGATATTAAATTTGGATGTCCAAACATCCGAAGTAATTGCAACTTTAGAAAGATTTTTTAACAAAGAAATTAAATTTTGTTTATATGAATAAAAATTTTTTAAAGCATCAGTTCTTATAGCATTCTTATAAACTTTTTTATATTGTGGGTTTATAGAACTACACAACCATTTTTCTAGCTTTGGATCTTCAGCTAATATATAATGATTGTTTTGTATGTATAATATACTTAGCAAGTTCTTGCCTCATTTTTTATTGTGAATATTTAAAAGTACCAAAGCTACTCCCTCTCATAATCTGTGTTTGTATTGTTTCTCTCCCTTCATCTTCTTCTTTCTCATGTGTGAGCAAATGTTTGCCCAAACAACCCGTACCACCCTTGCTACAATAACTAATGTCCTTCCTACATTTTTGGCAAACGACCATTTTCCCTTTCCCCTCAATATCCACTACTTTGAAAATTTTTCGAACCAGGTTACTCAACTTAGATGCCCCTCCTTTTTCTTATAGTATCAGTACCGGGGGTGAAAGTTCCATTTTCATCGACATCAATCGCATCAGTGCTAACACTATCATGATGCGATTGAATATCATCAATGAAGAACATGTTGGAGAATCAATTTTCATAAGAGCCAACATTTTTTTTTAATTATTAAAAGACAAAACTTAATCTAATTTGACTTGCCCGAATTGCTGGTTCAAAATCCCAACATGATTTCAACGGTTGAAGCCTTTCAACGTCCAAGCTTCCCAAAGTGAGATACTTGACGTGGTTGAGCAAGCCTTCTTCTTGTTGAAAGTTAAAACTTCAACGATGTTGAGACTTAAGAGTTGGATAATGCAAAATGAGACAATCAGCTAATTAGAAATACTTAGATTGTAGAGAATTGGGAATGTATGAGTATGAGAGAGATAGAAGAGATTAAGAGAATTGTTGAATTGGTGTGATGAGAATGGTGGAGGATAGGGCTATTTATAGGAATTGAACATAATTTAATTGCCCAAAATACCCCAAAAATTAGATGTTATTTAATCATTGGGAGGGGTATTTTGGTCATTGTAAAGTTATTTGTAACTTTACCCAAAAAAGTCCCCCTAAACTAGTTGTTATATAGCTATTGGGGGGGCATTTATGTCAAATTTTCAACCTACCCCTAATATGGCTGTTTATAGCTGTTGGGGGGTATTTCTGTAAACCCCCTCCCCCAAAAGTTGAAACTAGCCATTGGGCCCCTTGGGGGGGGCAACGGCTATATTCCAGGCGGGCCGTGCCAGCCCGTGCTGGCCTATGGACCTCGAACCCCTGGCACAACATGGCACGGGCCTCCGATTTACACCTATATCCATACAGTGCGCCCCACATGCACCCCACGGATGTTCTCATGCTTGTCATGGGAGATGTTCTCAAATCGGGCAGAATTGGGATTAGCTGAACGCGTTCGCTGTTCAAAGGGTGTGGAACCAATGATAATGTTTCACGCCACACAGTGGACCCATGAATTTATTACCGGCGTGGAACACTATCATTGGTTTCACAGCCTTCTGAACAGCGATCGCGTTCAGCTAATCTTTGCTCAATGGGGCGGAGCGCTCCGTGGGGACTGGGTCACTGTCACTGGGGAGCCCATCCGAATTCTGCAGTTGGATAAAACGGGGGCGGGGAAAGAATCGGCGGGTTAATCTTGCTATTTATCAATAGACAAACCAGAAGCCCTTGAACCAAAGTGCTGAATATAGTTTCAGTGAAATTTTAGGGTTTCGGTGAATTGGTTTTTGAACGTCGAAGATTAAGTGCCGAGGAAAGGGATCAGGTACGCTTTTCCCCCCTCTTCCCCTACCCTCTCTGTGTGTGCTGTCAAAACAGGGCTCTCTCTCTCAAACGATAGCATAGGCTCCGCTCCGTTCTTCTTCATCATGTATGCAAGAAAATAAGGGCTCGGCCGGCTTCTCTCTTGATGATGGATGCATTCTTTGTATTCAAAATGGCATTGTACATTTTAAGTTAGTCGTATTTTGATTGTTTAATTTGGTTATTTGTTACGCTTTTTTCAAAATTTTATATTATTGATTAGTTGTTATGAGTGTTCTGTTTTTGTTCTAATTCTAATCCATCAAAACAGGTCTATAAAGGGGTGGGATTGACTATAACAATTTCTTCTATACATCTATTTCTATATTTTCGAAAATTCCTTAATTTCTCCATTTTCTATCATTATATTATATTATATTTATTTATTTATTTATTTTTTGTATTAAATCGTGACTTAACTCGTCTAGATACTGCCTGAACTCGACCGAGAGCTGGCGTTAGTTATACGGGTTTTAACACTGATTTTATAAGAGTGATGATTTATTGAACGTTGAATCATTAAACGAGTCATGGGCGCCCCACCGTGTTCATCACTCATTGTCTCAAAACCTTGTTTTCTTCCAGGAAGAGGAGACTATTTTCATGATATGATCTACAATTTCCTTTTCTTTGATTGGTCCGATAATTTCCAAATTTTCTTTTCTCCATTTTAAACCCTGGAAAGAGCTTTCCACTTCTCTGAGTACTGAGATCTTGCTCCTATATTGACTCTATCAGTTCTATTTGCTGTTCTTTTTGCAGTTGCAAATGGAAAATCTAGCTCTAGCTCCTCCAAAGTTTCTATTGGGTTCTTCACCAAGCCTCACAGGCATCTCAAGCAGGCGCCCCTTGTTTTTTTCCAATTTACCTAAAAAGAGAAGAGAGGGCATTGTGAGAACCAGAAACCTTATCTCTTCTGTAAGCCAGGGAAATGTTGATGGAACAACAAGAAGAATTCCCAGAGATGGTATATGCCTGTTCTTTTTCTGTTTCTTGAATCTTGATTTATCTTGGTAGGAGTTGCTCACTGCTCAGTGGAATGTCAAGAATCATGGTTTGCTTATTCCTTTTTCTTGTTGTTGTTGTTGATCATTGTGTCTAGTGCTGGAAAGTACTTTGAAAAAGATCACTTGTCACTGTTGGCTATGTTCTATGTGGGCAATTATAGTTGGTTATGGGATTTTATTTTTAAGGATGTGCAAACAGCTAACTGTGAATTGGGTCTTATCTGATCATGTTAGACTGTTCATAACTTCATATGACCATATTTTTTATTTGACCTAGTGTCATGGATATGCTTGCATTTTTGAGAGGATATGAAAATTGCATTTTCTGTAGTAAACATTTGGAATGGATTTACTGGTTAAGAGTTAGAGTTAATCATGCACATTTGCGGAAACTAAAGAGAAATAAAGACTAATAGATTCATATGGGCTTATTGTTTTAATTAAACAGAAAAGACATGCATTGTGTTTGGCAGGTCTTTCTATAGCTCATCAGATCAAATGTAGCTTTTGAGAGCTGGTCTTTGAATACGAAGACCATTTGGTAATGCATAGATCTTCCATATAGACCGGATTATGATATGCCTTCCTAAACTATTATACACATACACCATCACAAATGATCACCTATTAGCCCACCCTTCATCCTACAAAGTCTACCACAAGAACTTGAATTAGTAGGACATACCCTGTCCTCCATCAGTGTATAACCACCTGAGTGTACAGGAAAAGCCTAAGCTGATTTAAACAACCTCAAAATGTATCAGAATTGAATAAAATAACAGTTGTGCACATACACCTTCACAATTGATCACCTACATGGTATCAATGAAAGCTAACCTGAAACTCATTTTTTTCTGTACCCTAGATTGGCTATTCCTTCCTTTCTCCAAACATATGGCAATGGAGCCTGATAGTCTATCACAAGCAATGGTGAAATCAACTTTTTGAAGTCTGCTGAGAGTTCTGGACCAAGAAAAAAACTTCTCAGCTACCAAGTTAAATGGATTAGTTCTTCTAGAGAATGCAATGGGAGAAAGTACAGCATACATGATTTAAAAGGGCTGTTGGATCTGATGACCAATCCATGAATCAATGTATTCTATTATATGGTACACTTAGAATAAACACTTACTTTTTTTTTTGATGAATAAGCACGTACTTTGTACAACAAGATGGATGAATTGTTCTGTAGGCTCAGTTTGGGAATAGTGCAGATAAAAATATGTACATTGTAAATACAAGGTTTGGAAATACCATATATAAGGTTTTGCACTGTACATATTTGTATTTGCACTCTTCCCAAACAAATCCTTAGGCTCAGTTTGGAAAGAGTACAAATACAAATATGTACAGTACAAATTCATAAAAAATAATAGAAAATACAAGGCTTTGCACTCTACAAATTTGTATTTGTACTCCTTCCAAACTGAACCTTAAGTGCAATTCCCACTGTTTGTTTTTGTCGGGTATCCTTTGCAGATGTCTTAAATACATGAAGTGGTATTTTGTAATGGTAGAGTGGCTTTGCTGCAATGTTCCATTGAGATATAGTCCTCTGTTGCACTGGTTCGTAAAAAAAAGAAATAGTAATTGCTGTCAAAATACTTTTTCATTAGTAATGAACAGAAATTGTATAAGTTGTGATGAAAGAATGATTTAGCAACATACAGAATTGATTTGTGCAAAACACTCCTAATTATAGGCTAGAACTAGCTACCTATCCTGATGTATCATTGTATCTTGCAACCCAATCTGTTGTGGGATTGTTCCCTAGAACATCGTTTTCTGTTTACCAATTAGCTTGCTAAAGCATCGGCCTTGCTGTTAGCTTATCTTTGGGCCCATTTCAATGTAATTCTTAGCTACCTATCCTAGGATGTTACTTCCCTCTTAACATCTAAATTTCTGTGAACCTATGGTGATGTTTTTTATCCATCATACCTCCACCTTCAAGCCCCCTTCCACCACTATTGTTTTTTAGATCTAGGGATTTGGTCATAATCCCTGTCAAACTCCAAGTAATTTGGCCCTTGTTCAATCTCTCTGTCCTTATTGGTCCAGAAAAGAAGGCTATGATCATACCATGTCAGTTACCCAAACTGCAGCCATGAAAATTCAAATTAATGTAACCATGGATCGGAGGAGACCAAGTTGGTGAAGTGTGGACCCTAACCAACAAGGAGAAAGCAACAATTTGCATTACTGTCAAAACAGTATCAGTTACAAGATCTTTAACGTCTGAATCTTTAAAGCCACTCTAGTTAAGTTCTGTATATGAGTTTGTTAAACTTTAAAATTTACAGGATGCCTGTCTAATATCCTATTAGTAGATCTATTTATATCTTTATAAGTTGCGTAATAAATGAAATTAATAATTTATGTTTTGCATACTTTGTGCTTCTTTTCTGTCTATTAGCATATCTATTTATGGTTCTTGGAAGAAACACTTAGTCCCTCTTTACCAATTTTCAATAAATGATTACCTCTCCACATTTATGAGCTCTGAAAATCAGTGAAACTTTCATGTATTCTGCTTGTGCTGCAAATATGGTCTGGTGGTTGAACTGTGCTGCAAACTGTCATTTATTCTCCTTACTCCTCTGCATGACATAGTAAACTAAATCAGTCTAAAGAGTAGAAACAGTTTCAAACCAGAGGGTTCATCCTAAAGAAACTTCTGAACTTGCGGGTTTGATGATGGTTCAACAGTAAAACACATGTTACCTGTTATTTTCTTTCCTTTTGAGAGATGCCACACCATCAGTTTGATCCTTGTAAGTGGGATTGAACCACACTGACCTCATTTTTTCTTCACTCTTTGGAATGCTTATTTAAAGGACCCTACAATTCCTTCTTGGTTGCTTTAGTTGAGATTGGAGAGTCTTTCTTTATATTGACCCTTTCTTGCTACTGATTTGCCCTTCAAGCTCAATTTGGGAAGACTACAATTACAAACATGTATAGTGCAAAACCTTGTATATTGTATTTCTAAACCTTGTATTTGCACTGTGCATATTTCTATTTGTACTCATGCCAAACTGAGCCTCAAGTCTCCGCTAAATTATGTTCATAAACATACTCCCACTACATGTTTTTGTTTTGGTCTGTGCTGTAATCTGAGGATATTTGCATTCTTGTAGTGCGGGAAAGGTTAGGGATGGAGGTTTTTGCAAGTATTTCTTCTTCAAGCAGAACAGAAGTGTCTTCAGTTGGTGTTAACCCACAGCTCTCAGCACCATCCCCACCTTCTTCTATGTAAGCATGTGCCCCTCACTTGCATTCCTGCCCCTAGATATCTGCTGTTTTCTTATTTATATGGAAGGATCAATATAATGCCCCATATATTAATTTCAAAGTTTCGCTTGAAATTTGTATTTGTGGCACAAACTTTTGATTAATCTTCTGATTGTATTTTAGAGGGTCACCTCTCTTTTGGATTGGAGTTGGCGTTGGGCTCTCGGCACTTTTTTCATGGGTGAGAACCTTAATGATCCATTTGCATTCCTTATGCTCTAATATTTCTTCCTGTATAATTAAGTATTTTTACTTAAAAGTGTCCATTGTCTTCCATGTTTTACCTTTTATCTTTAACAATCTCAATGCTATGTGCCAGGTGGCGACAAACTTAAAGGTCAGTCCAGCCACTCCTGTTACCTTCTTATGTGGTATGAATTATAAAGTGTCCATTGTCTTCCTGTATAATTTTTTTGACATGATTTTGTTGCAATCACTCGAGAAATAAAAAATTTATTGTGTTTTTGATGTAAGAAATCAAGAAAGAAGAGAGAACAAAGGTAGAGGAAGAGAGGAGAAGAATTAGAGAGAGTGGGCTGAGAATCAATTATTGGATCTCATGCCCAAGCTATTGGCATTTATGTTAAATTGTAAAATTACAATTAGGTTCTTCTTTATGCTTTTTGAGTAAAAAGACTAAATTTCTCACCATTAAGGCTAACCAATTCAACAATCCCCCTCAAGTAGAGTATATATATCAAGCACATATAGTTTGAGAATATTATCTTCTTACCTGGTCTTTGGAACACCCTTGGTAAGGTAATCAGCGACTGGGCTCAGATTGTCCAAAGGGCAAGCAAGCATACTTCACCATTAGCAACAGTCCCCCTCAATGTGCTTGGTCTAGTAATGTTGAATCAGATTATGAGCGTATTGTTGCTTTATTATCACAATACATCTTCTTGGGTACATCAAATTTGAGTCAGACGATTCTTTAACCATAATCTATGCAAGTTGGCATTATTCCCAACTTCAGAGGGGGAGTGTTGAGGATTTATCATTTATTTTCTTGTTAGTTAGTTGTTATTGGGTGGCCTAAGGCCCATTAGTTTACTGCTGATTTACGATTTTTTAGTGTGTTGGCAATATCTGCCCTATTAAGGGCATACTTGACATTATACACCTTTTATTTCTTAAGTATAAAAGTTAATGGGAGAGGCAGCCATATTACTATTGGCTTCCCTTCCCTTTCTTTCACCTTCTTCTTCTTCTTCCTTTTTTACTCTCAAAACTCTTTCTTCTTTACTTTCTTTCTCTTCAGTATTTGATTTTATGTTATTTGCTACTTGGTATCACAGCCACTTTTAGAATTTCTTGGAGTTGATCCATGCAGTCCTAGTTCAGCCAACTGCATGGAGGAGTAAAGGGCTGATTGTTGGATCAAGAAATATCCAATTCTTGGATTTTTTGGTGGAATTCAGACATCAGGAGTGTGGTATGTGATTTGAAATCAAAATTAGGAAGAATTGGAGAGAAAGGAAGAGTCTTTGTTAGTGCGAACTCTTTGTTTTTGACTTGGAGTGAGGCACTTAGATTTTTTCAGGTTCCTAGAAGCTTCCTATAGGTGCAATTCAATTTCTAGTTTTGTTTTTTGGGTCTCCTGGTGAGATTGATAGCACTCTCTCCAAGGGTTTTATATTTTTAGGAGTGTGTTTAGACTTTTTGGGAGGGATCGATCCGATCTTGGAGGCTCCTTTTTTTATTAGTGTTGAGAGCTGTTTGAGAAGGAAAGGAGGGTTGTGAAGTTGAATAGAAAATGGCCAATAACCTTGGACTGAGTGTGGGACGTGCTAGTCCCTTGGGATCAGGTATTATCATGACTATTAAATTGGATGGTACAGAATGGGCACAATCAGCTAGGATGGTTATTGGTGGACATGGAAAATTGGGATATATCATTGGTGAGGAGAAGAAACCTAAGACAAATTTCTCTTGATGGGTGCAAGAGAATTATATGGTAATGACTTCACTGTGTAGTTCTATGGTACTTTCATATTAGTAGAAATTTCCTAGGGAAGACACTGCTAAGGAGATTTGGGATGGAATAGCTGAGATCTGTTCTTAGGTAGAATGTTACTAGAGCTTATCAATTGAGAAATCAAGGCGGGGAGACAAACTTCTTGCAGTGTATTTCTCTAGACTGAGAACTTTGTGGCAGGTGATAGATCATTTGGAGATTGTTGTATGGGAGAGTACTACGGATGCTGTTACTTATCATAAGCTGGTAGAGAAGAACAGGGTGTTTGAGTTTCTGATTTGGTTTAATCCCATGAGAATGTGGCTCTCTCTAAGGCATATGCCTTTGTCTTTTGAGAAGACAGTAGGATGAATGTCATGATGAGACCATCTGGGATTGAATCATCGACCATTGTTTGCAACATCAGACCTAGATCCAATGGGGATAAGGGTGGTAATGAGAATAAACAGGAGGATAGGAAGGGTGTGTGTGTGTATGTGTGACTGGGGACTCATTATGACCTTTCACTCAAACTTCCTTGGAGTCTATTGTAGCAGCAGTAGTTTGGGCTGAATTGGAAAATATGGGCAGCATATAAGGCCATGTTTGGGTTGCTGGTGGGCCTCATTCTTTTAGTTCATACTCATTCTAGGCAAGAATAACATAAGAGCGTTTCGTTACAAAATTCTTTGCATTGGCTTCATTTGTTTTAGAATGAAAAATGAGTCCATGGCATAAAAATTGAGGTAACTAGCAGCATGAAAAATAATAGTGCCTCATATTATTTTTGATAATTAATAATAGTGCCTCGTATTGCTCATTTTCATTCTTCAAAGAAACTCTATGTTGGCGGTTTATGATTGCCGGTACGGTTTTTATTGTTGGATGCATAGTAGGCTATTGTGAAATTTTATGCCAATGGACATTGATTGACGGCCATTTGGTGGTAAAAATCTATCTTGGTAGTTTTTGAGCAATATATTGTACGGTTTTATGGTGGTTTACTGTATTTTATAACTTTCTTAATATATTATCTTTATTTAATATACTATTATCAATTTAGTGAAATTGTTAGACATATTTATCAAAAAAAAAAGAAATTGTTAGACATTTTGCACTTTTTTCATGTTATTAATTTTACTTTTGATTTTACAATTTTTAATTCCATTTCCATCTTGAAGTTCCAAGGTCTTTTCTTCATTTGCACAATTGCCTACTCAATTCAACAAACTAATTTCCTTTTAATTAATTTTAAATAACTGCTAATTTCTTTTTTTAAATTCTTTTATATTTTCTCTATTCAACCAAATGCAAACGCTTTTCTAGTTTATTGTCTTTTTTCATTTCTATATTTTGTATTACTGGTGCAGGGTAGTGTTTTAAAAGCACAAGGCACAAGGGTCAATTTGTGCCCGAGGCGCAACCACAAGGTGCAAGGCAAGGCACGTGCCTTTTTGAAGCAATGTGCAAAAATGAAAAAATGCTAAAAAATAAAAAAATGTCAGAAAAATGCCAAAAAATAAAAACTATTAAACATAATATTCATAAAAAATATAACTTTAAATTTTAAAATAAATGTTTTAAAAAACCTATTATCTAAAATTAAAATACATAAACATAACATGTAAAGCATATTCAAATGTGAATTTAAAAATAAAATCAAACATATACAACATTTTGAAGCATTCAAAACCCACAATCTCTTTTTTTCTTCAATTGCGTTACTTAAAGTAGCTGATGTGATGTAAAACATATTACATTCCTGATTCTACGAGTCGCATTTGTGCCATGCCCCTCGAGGCAAGCCTAGACAAGTCCATGTTAGGGTCCTAAATTCTTGGTTTTCACACAAAAAATAATGATTTTATAATTTTAATTGCTTTTTAAGAAGATATTTTAGTAGGATGAATGAATGAACAACATTACCAAATAGGTGGTTCTTTATAAAATCATTATTTTTTGTGTGAGAACTAAGAATTTAGGACCCTAACATGGACTCGTTTGGGCCCGACCTAGTTTTTTTTTTGATGAATGATAATAAATTTATTAATTCAGAAGCAGATTTAGAGAGAGGCGCGAGCTGCAACCCCTCCTTGAATCTTACAAGTAAACTAGGAAAGAAAAGCAAGAATCACAACTGA